TATCAACTGAAAATCAAACATTTTAAAAAATAACCTGAGAGGTCCGCATTGTGGTGTATTTTCTTGTGGGTTCAAGATCAGCCATCTTCTGTCTCCATTTCTTTATACATCAATATTCTGACTTCTGTTTACTCTGCTCTTTTACGGAAATGCAATAAAGCCACAATTTATAACACGTGTGCATATATTTATCATGAGCCAAATCGGGATCTCCCGAGCTGTATTCGTATCTCTTTGTTATTTGTGAGTGAATGAGTTTAGTTTTACGCCGCACTGAGCAATATGCCAGCTGTATGGCGGCGGTTGTTATTCGTAACAATCTGAGGAGAAAAGAGCGTAGTCCCATTGCAAATGTATCAAACATCCCACGTGTCGTGACACAACACGTGAGTCAGCGACACGCCCACAGATCCACAAGCTGCTCTCGATAGGGCCCGTAAGTAGGCCATTGCACTTCGCGCGAACTTAGTACTTCCGGTGACAAACAATGTGTCACTTTCATACCTTTTCGAATGGTCTCATGGTTGTCAGTTGACAGTAAGGAACCGATAATGCTTGCAGGAATAACAAATTCTCGATCTAACCATCCCTAAATTAGCCAACTATTACGACTGTTGGTCCAGTCTAGTAAAGTCATATTTGGCGGTCGCACAATTTGGAACCAGAACTAGTTCTTCAATATATGCTTGTCACCGAACATCTGGCCCCGTCTCGCATATCGCAAGTTGACGCGCGTAAAGGGAGCCTGTAACCAGTTTAGTACCCGAAGTAGCGCCTCGTGAGACTTACAGACAGACAGTCACATTTATTTCAGTAAAAGGCAATAGGCCAAAAATAAAGTCTTAACAGAATGTTTAACCTATCTGCGAAGTAATAAAGTAGCATAATCTTCTTGCCCTTAATCTTTGGACTGTCGCCTGATAGAGGCATACATGGGCGGATCCAGGAATTTTGAAAGGGGGGTGTTTGAACCCCTGAACCCCTTGGCTCCGCCAACGCAAACAAAGCTTCAATGTGGTCTTAAGTCATTTTCAAACCCCCTGAACCCCACCCCACCCCCTAGGATCCGCCCATGACAAAAAACGTTATTATTTGTTGAGGACTTCACGAGGCGTACAGGCCATATACATCAACCCGTGAAGATCCGGGTTAGAATTGATCTTCAGTAACCCATGCATGTCGTAAGAGGCGACTAACGGGATCGGGTGGTCAGGCTCGCTAACTTGGTTGATGCATGTCGTGGAATCCCAATGATGTATGCTCATGATGTCAGACACTGGATTGATTGGTCCAGACACGGATTATTTACAGGCCGCTGCAATATAACAGGAATATTGCTGAGTGTGGTGTCAAGCAACAAAGAAACAAACAAAACCTTCTGCACATGCGCAAAAAGGAAATTATTTTTGAGTGCCTCCATATCTTAAAATGATCACTATGCATCAGTCAACAAGTCCGCAAGGTTCATTGGTGGTCGTTATTCTCATTACATCAATACGTGAGTGTATCACGAACGTCTTAGATGTGGTGGGGAGCCTAGTGGTTAATGTGTTGGCTCGTCACGCCGAAGGCCAGGGTTTGATTCCCAACATGGGTACATTGTGTGAATTGTGTCCCTGATATTGCTGGAATGTTGCTAAAAGAGGCTAAAACCCGGGTCTTCGGCGTGACGAGCGAACGCTTTAACCACTAGACTACCCCACTGCCCTGCATCGGTACTTCAAGCTACTGCATATCAACCTAAGAGGCAAGAACAAACTCCGAGTGCCTGGAGACAGCTCCCTCCGCAGTTGATCTCTTAGATCAATGGACCAATACACTTAATATATAAAAGTCAGCATGAGACCTAAGGACTAACAAAGGATAGTAGCCTCGGCAATATAACACACCGCCGATAAATTAAGCCAGGTGGTCATCAAATCCTTTTTACCGTTACTTAACAGAACCTTTCATAGTCAATTCAAAAGAACGAAATATGTTAATCCGGTTCCAGGGGATAATGTTCTCACGTCAATAAAAATGCAATGATTCCCAACTTTGTTTGGTGTCAATACAGGTTATTTTTTCTCCACCGATCGATCATATCATCAAAACACGGTTTGGTGTTTAAAAATATTGTCACTAATCTTTTCGTCCCCAACGACTTGAGGGGTAGCTGCATAATGACGTTTATTCTGGTGCGTTGTCCATGCCAACATCATTTCTATATCAGTATACGTAGATATGGATCGTGGGCAAGTAAAAACTTGAACATAATTTCATTTTATCGCATGACTACATGAGCATATTTTCTTATGTGACAGGAAATTCATTTGTGGTAGGTTTCTTATCATTATTCGTATCAAAACTTTGAACGCACAATCTGCACTCCTACCGTGTTTTATGGTGGCCCCACACCAAGTATCGATTACCCTGGTGTTCTATTGGTTACCGCGAAGGTATAGTCAAGGGTGGGGGTTGGGGGTTGGGGATGTCTTCTCGGGGATATTCTTGTGGGTTTATCTTATCATCAAGACGGTAGCACCCCTTGGTTTCCCTGGGTAATTTGTATTCCAGTTAGATAGTTCCCCAGGTGGATTGTATACAGGGTAGATTTTCTCTCAGGTTGATAGTCTCCTTGGTACTCTCCCTGTAAGATCCGGGGTAGAATTCGCCAGGGTAGATTGCCTCCCGGGTAGTGTTCCCTCGGTAGATAGTGTCATAGGAAGATAGTCTCCCGGGTAGATTGTCTCTAGGATAGAGCGTCTCCTGGGTAGATAGTGTCATAGGAAGATAGTCTCCCGGGTAGATTGTCTCTAGGATAGAGCGTCTCCAGGGTAGATTGTGTCATAGGAAGATAGTCTCCCGGGTAGATTGTCTCTAGGATAGACTGACTGACTGAGTGAGTTTGGTTTTACGCCGCTTTTAGCAATATTCCAGCAACATCACGGCGGGGGAAACCAGAAATGGGCTTCACACATTGTGCCCATGTGGGGATTCGAACCCGGGTCTTCGGCGTCTCTAGGATAGAGCGTCTCCTGGGTAGATAGTGTCATGGAAAGATAGTCTCCCGGGTAGATTGTCTGTAGGATAGAGCGTCTGCTGGGTAGATAGTGTCATAGGAAGATAGTCTCCCGGGTAGATTGTCTGTAGGATAGAGCGTCTCCTGGGTAGATAGTGTCATAGGAAGATAGTCTCCCGGGTACATTGTCTCCAGGATAGAGCGTCTCCTGGGTAGATAGTGTAATAGGAAGATAGTCTCCCGGGTAGATTGTCTCCAGGATAGAGCGTCTGCTGGGTAGATAGTGTCATAGTAAGATAGTCTCCCGGGTAGATTGTCTGCAGGATAGAGCGTCTCCTGGGTAGATAGTGTCATAGGAAGATAGTCTCCCGGGTAGATTGTCTCTAGGATAGAGCGTCTCCTGGGTAGATAGTGTCATAGTAAGATAATAATAATAATAATGTGTCCATTTATATAGCGCCAAACTCCACACTAGGTATGCTCATAGCGCTAACAATCAAGGTCATTATTACCCCGGATAACCCAAGCTGCCTGTTAGGCGCTAGAAGGTTATAGTCATATGACTTTTTTCCACCGGGTACCCATTTTCCTGCTGGGTGAACAGAGACAATTTTGAACAAACTCACTTGCCTAAGGTAAGACCACATGTGTCACATGTGCTTCGTTGTGGGGCAGGACTCAAGTCCTAGATAGTCTCCCGGGTAGATTGTCTGCAGGATAGAGCGTCACCTGGGTAGATAGTGTCATAGGAAGATAGTCTCCCGGGTAGATTGTCTCCAGGATAGAGCCTCTCCTGGGTAGATAGTGTCATAGGAAGATAGTCTCCCGGGTAGATTGTCTCTAGGATAGAGCGTCTCCTGGGTAGATAGTGTCATAGGAAGATAGTCTCCCGGGTAGACTGTCTCTAGGATAGAGCGTCTCCTGGGTAGATAGTGTCATAGGAAGATAGTATCCCGGGTAGAGTGTTCCCTCGGTAGATAGTATCACAGAAAGATATCCTGAATAGAATGTCTCCAGGATAGAGCGTCTCCAGGGTAGAGCGTCTCATGGGTAGATGTTATCACAGGAAGATAGTCTCTCGTGTAGAGTGTCTTCCGGGTAGATACTGCTCTCATTTACAGAAGAATCCTTCAAGGAATTCTATGCCCTTGTATAAGAGGCGAACCTTAAGGGGATTGATCTTTGCAACAATGAAAATGTGACATCTGCTTAATTACGCTTACGCTTACGCTTACGTGAAACATGACATTTTCTTAGAACCAGACGCATTCGACGTTACAGCCTCGATGACGATTGCCACGGCTTTTCAAATTTCAAATTTAATTCTGAAATTGACACACGACGAGAATCTGCCCAACGTAATTAAACGTGATCGAAAGGAAGGGTTTATTTAGTTGGGATGATTTTTACGCCGATTTTAGCAATATTCCAGCAATATCACGGCAGGAGACACCAGAAATAGGCTTCACATATTGTACGAATGTGGGGAATCGAACCCGGGCCTTCGGCGTGACGAGCCAACGCTTTAACCACTGGAATACCCCACCGCCCCCTGGTTTTATTCAGACAGCGGTCTCTAGGATTTCGAGCTTAGTCATCCATGTTGAAATGAAAAGTATGAAATATTTCCAATATGCATGAATAACAAAGGGATCCAATATAGATCTTTGTTAGTTTTACATCACCACAGTTGCCAGGGACGCCGCTATCGAGGTAAACACAACAAACTTTCAGTCTAGTCTGTTCTTGATGGGCGGTCCAGTCTATTGGGAAATAGGGAGAACCTATTACTTACGTCATTTTATGAAATATAACCCAATCGACTGATAACAAATGGAATACCAAAATATTGGATTTCTACTTGTGTTAGGTGGTTTAATAGACATTGAAAACATATCAGGTTTGTGTATAGCGGATGAGTAAAATTATTCATTTTCAGTATTACCTTCCATGTTTGAACTTAAACTCGTCTAAGAGATGACTTAAAAGGGTCCCGCGCGGGCTTCCTGTACAGGTCGATCTGGTGATAGCTGCAGAGGTAGGTACAGGGTATTTGTGGGGGGTGATAGCTGCAGAGGTAGGTACAGGGTATTTGTGGGGGGTGATAGCTGCAGAGGTAGGTACAGGGTATTTGTGGGGGGACGATAGCTGCAGAGGTAGGTACAGGGTATTTGTGTGGGGGTGACTGAGGGGTGAAGTGTGTTTTGTCACACGTAGAATACCTATGGCAACATAGTTTTGGAGATTTTACTTTTTATGTGATAATCTTGTAATACTTGAAAGACGTTGAAACTTCATCGGAGTACATTTAAAAGAAATTATTTTGATATATTAATATTATAGACACTATAGAACATCTTCTGAATCTAGTGAGATGACGGGACGGTGGGGTAGCCTAGTGGTTAAAGCGTTGGCTCGCCACGCCGAAGACCCGGGTTCGATTCCCCACCTTGGCACAGTGTGTGAAGTCCATGTCTGGTGTCCCCTGCCGTAATATAGCTGGAATATTGCTAAAAGTGGCGTAAAACTAAACTCACTTACTCATTCATTGAGAGAGGGCTACACCATGTCTGATGGTGGCTGAACCTGGGACAGATATCAATCGGTATTCATTAAGTGCTTCATATGATTAGGATAGTGGGCTTTTGGGCCTTAGGTTGGAACTGTTTTCATTCTGGTAGCGTTTGTCTTTTGGTCGAATCCATTTATCAAATGTACAGATGGCATTCATTTGCCCTGCAGATTAGATCTCCACCACTTACCCCAGCTTTTACAGTCTCCAGTAGACGTGGTGTTGTCCACTACCACCAGGTTCTCCAGTCTCCAGTAGACGTGGTGTTGTCCTTTAACCCTATCTACAGCCTTCAGTAGTCTCCAGTATACGTGGTGTTGTCCACTAACTCTAGGTTCTACAGTCTTCGGTAGACGTGGTGTTGTCCACTAACTCTAGGTTTTACAGTCTCCAGTAGACGTGGTGTTGTCCTTTAACCCTAGGTTTTACAGCCTTCAGTAGTCTCCAGTAGACGTGGTGTTGTCCACTACCCATAGGGTTCTACAGTCTATCCAGTAGACGTGATGTTGTCAACTAACTTTAGGTTCTAGAGTCTCAAACAGACGTGGTGTTGTCCTGTACCCTTAGGTTCTACAGTCTCCAGTAGACGTGGTGTTGTCAACTACCCCTAGGTTTAACAGTCTTCAGTAGTCTCCAGCAAACGTAGTCTTGTCCACTACCACCAGGTTTTACAGTCTCCAGTAGGCGTGGCGTTGTCCACTATCCCTAGGTTCTACAGTCTTCAGTAGGCGTAGTGTTGTCCACTATCCCTAGGTTCTACAGTCTTCAGTAGACGTGGCGTTGTCCACTACCACCAGGTTCTACAGTCTCCAGTAGACGTGGCGTTGTCCTCTACCCCTAGAGTTCTACAGTCTCAAGTAGACGTGGCATTGTCCACTACTCCCAGGTTCTACAGTCTCCAGTAGACGTGGTGTTGTCCACTTCCCCTAGGTTCTACATTCTCTAGATTCCTGCTCCAGTGTGCATTTCTTTCCAAAATTTGAAACATAGATTACATTTCAGATTCCCAAGCAACAGGAACAATGAAGTTTACCTTGATTGCCATCCTTGTTCTCTCGCTTTACGTTGTTAATACCATGGCTGCGACAACAACAACAGCTGCAGCAAGTAAGTCATCTTGATCTATGTTTTCTTGGTTATTAGTGCTTTTGGAGGACTAAACTCAGGAACCCGTCAAGATCCGGGTTACAATTGTTCTTCAGTATCCCATGCTTGTCGTAAGAGGCGACTAACCGGATCGGGTAGTCAGGCTCGCTGACTTGGTTGACACATGTCTTTGAATCACAATTGCGTATATCGATGCTCATGATGTTGATCACTGGATTGTCTGGTCCAGAATCGATTACATACCGCAGCCATATAGCTGGAATATTGCTGATTGCGGCGTAAAACTAAACTCACTGACTGACTCATGATCACTCACTCACTCACTCACTCACTGAATCGGCAGATGTCAAACATCACGCTGTCTGCTAGCTCAGTCTTCATAGGTGAGACTTTGAATCCTGATTAATAAATTCCGGTGAGTGAGTGAATTTAGTTCTACACCTCTTCTAGCAATATTCCAGCAATCTCACGACGGCGGACACCAGAAATTGGGTTTACACATTGTACCCAAGTGGGAAATCGAACCCTGGTCTTCGGCGTGACGAGCGAACGCTGTAACTACTAGGCTACTCCACCACCCCGGTAAACAGAAAGTGTCCCGTAAAAATACACTACTGAAAAGAACAATCGATTTGTTGTTGTTTTTTTCTATTTTCACTGAGGACCATCAAACAATCTTTTCATATTCTTTAATTATGCACACACAGGTTCTGATTCAGACAAATATTGGATACAACACCGACAACAATTATTGAGCATGTTTCGGAACATCCCTTTCAAGCAAATCCATACCTGTACTAAAAGCAGCATAAATCTAAACTCACTCACACACTGTTTCCAATATGTAGTTGTCATTTATAATTGTTAAGGGGCGGTATGTAGCCTAGTGATTAACGCGTTCGCTCGTCACGCCGAAGACCCAGGTTCGATTCCCCACATGGGGGCGCGGTGGGCGAACTGGCTAAAGCGCCAGGCTAGTGATCCAGCGAGCTTGAGGTGACGGGATCGAGCGCACCTGTGACGGGGTGTAAAAACCTTGGAGTCAACTTTGTGTGCAGACTCCTTCAGTGTTGTCACAACCCCTAGTGTACAGTACACAACCCTGTGCACTTATAAGAACCCACGAATCCGTTGGTATATGACCAGATGGTGGCCACATGAATACGTGCAAACACCCAGTTGCGGGTGATATTGCTGGAGTATTTCTAAAATCGGCGTAAAACTAAACTCACTCACATATCATTGTTACCGATTGTTCTCAAACTTAAATAACGTTGGCTTAACGACCTGCTCTCATCATTCAGCAACAACGGCCGCTGCAACGACCGCCGCTGGGGCGACGACCGTTGCTGCGACGGGGACGGGTTCTACAGTTGCTACGACCACCGCCGGAAACGTAAGACTTCCATAAGTTTTGCAACACATTTCTGTTCTGACATGTGAGGTTTACAGCTGACGTTGTCGCCGATACATTACTGTACTATACAGACAACTACTGTTTACTTCAAGACTACTATACAGACAACTACTGTTTACTTCAAGGCTACTATACAGACAACTACTGCTTCCTTCAAGACTACTATACAGACAACTACTGTTTACTGCAATACCACTATACAGACAACTACTGTTTACTGCAATACTACTATACAGACAACTACTGTTTACTTCAAGACTACTATACAGACAACTACTGTTTACTTCAAGACTACTATACAGACAACTACTGTTTACTTCAAGACTTCTATACAGACAACTACTGTTTACTTCAAGACTACTATACAGACAACTACTGTTTACTTCAAGACTACTATACAGACAACTACTGTTTACTTCAGGACTTCTATACAGACAACTACTGTTTACTTCAAGACTACTATAAAGACAACTACTGTTTACTTCAGGACTACTATACAGACAACTACTGTTTCCTTCAAGACTACTATGCAGACAATTACTGTTTACTTCAAGACTACTATACAGACAGCTACTGTCTACTTCAAGACTACTATACAGACAACTACTGTTTACTTCAAGACTACTATACAGACAACTACTGTTTACTTCAAGACTACTATACAGACAACTACTGTTTACTTCAAAACTACTATACAGACAACTACTGTTTACTTCAAGGCTACTATACAGACAACTACTGTTTACTTCAAGACTAATATACAGACCACTAAAGTTTACTTCAAGACTACTATACAGACACTTAAAGTTTACTTCAAGACTACTATACAGACATCTACTGTTTACTTCAAGACTACTATACAGACAACTACTGTTTACTTCAAGACTACTATACAGACAGCTACTGTCTACTTCAAGACTACTATACAGACAACTAAAGTTTACTTCAGGACTACTTTACAGACAACTAAAGTCTACTTCAAGACTACTATACAGACAACTACTGTTCCCTTCAAGACTACTATACAGACAACTACTGTTCCCTTCAAGACAACTATACAGACAACTACTGTTTACTTCAAGACTAATATACAGACAACTACTGTTCCCTTCAAGACTACTAAACAGACTACTACTGTTCCCTTCAAGACTACTATACAGACAACTACTGTTTACTTCAAGACTACTATACAGACAACTACTGTTTACTTCAAGACTACTATACAGACAACTACTGTTTACTTCAAGACTACTATACAGACACTTAAAGTTTACTTCAAGACTGCTATACAGACATCTACTGTTTACTTCAAGACTACTATACAGACAACTACTGTTCCCTTCAAGACTACTATACAGACAACTACTGTTTACTTCAAGACTACTGTACAGACAACTTCTGTTTACTCACAAACACTTCCATACAGACAACCACTGTTTTGTCCAACACAGTACTATACAGACAACTAGTGTTTACTTCAAGACTCCTATACAGACAACTACTGTTTTGTCCAACACACTACTATACAGACAACTAGTATTTACTCCAACACACTACTATACACACAACTACTGTTTTGTCGAAGAAACTACAAGAAAAGCCTTGTCTAGCAGTAACACTAATAGCCGAGACAACGTTGTGCGGTGGATGTTGAGACTATCACTCACATGTTGGGTATCTTTGCCTCGCCGATAAACTGACTTACTTCTGATTAAAGTATTCACCCACTTACTCACAAACCATTTCTTCTTGTAGACTGGCGCCACCAACGTCTTCACTCCCATGATGTACGTCGTCGCCGTCTACAGCGGGAGGCTGGCACTGAGCCTGGTCCTGTAGATCTCTATCATAAAGTGGATACAGACATGGACTTCAAATGTACGAGTTATCTTAGCTTCAAATGAACACTCGGCAGCTCTCGGATCTTTCCGTGATCATCGCGTCGTGCCTTGGAATTATCCGAAATGACGAACAGTCAAAACATCACAACGCATGGCGGAAAACCCAGTTTCGGAAATGTTGAATATTGACATTTTGAGTAATTTCAAAATATGTGCCATTTTATTAAGAGAAATACCCAAAATTATAAATTCATTTTTACATATCAGTCAACAGACGTATACGACCATCACTCAAGTTTCCATGTTTCCTTGATAACACCGTTCAGTGTATCAGCTGGCAAACACAATTTCTTCCTGGTCGTCCATTATGTCCGCATCCATTTTATTCCACGAGTTCAGCGTGTCCATTTTATTCCTAGATTGTTTTGTTATCTGTCAGTTATTTATTTCACCTATCGTGGGAGCGGTGGTGTAGCCCAGTAGTTAAAGCGTTCGCTAGTCACGCCGAAGACAGGTTCGACCCAGTGTGAAGCCCATTGCTGGTGGTATTGCTGAAATATTGCTACAAGCGGCTTAACACTAATCCCACGCACTTACTCACTCACTAACTCACTTACCTATTGAGTGCTCTTTCACTCGTAAGCCAACGACGCCATTATAATCACTGTAATCACCTCAGGGTTAATTCCTGTGAGTGATGAAGTGACGTACTTCACCATCAATTTATGGCTATGACTTGGTCCCTTTAATTCGTCAACTAACAACGAATATACGGTTTGTTTCGCCACTGGAATCGGTAGTTCTGATTATGATTAAAACAGTTGTTTCACTGTAAAACGCCTCTCTATTCCACACTCAAACATACGCATACACCGTAAGTACCGCAAACACAGGAAATATCGTACACATTGCAAATATCGCACACACCGTAAATACCGCACACACCGCAAATATCGCACACACCGTAAATACCGCACACACCACAAATATCGCACACACCGTAAGTACCGCACACAACGCAAATATCGCACACAACGTAGATACCGCACACACCACAAATACCGCACACACCGCAAATATCGCACACAACGTAAATACCGCACACACCGCAAATACCGCACACACCTTACACAAGCTGAATACCGCAGATACCTCACACACCGCACTTACCGTTCACACGCAAGTTTATTGGAATGGTACGGAGTGTTGGAAGTGAAAAAGAGGGGTGTGAATACAGTGAAAAAGAGGGGCGTTTGGTTCCGGAATGCCATGCACTCTTTTGTTATATTCAGAACATCCTCTGGCATTCTGTTCTCGTACATTAAAGATATTTTGTGCATCTAAAGATCAGTGGTTGTTGTGTTTTATTATGTGTTGTGAAACATTTCGTGTTTAACAATGGTTATTTACAAAGCGTGCATTTCGCAGCTAACCCAAGCCGCCTGTAGTGCGCAAGAAGGTTAACGGTCCCATTCTCATCGGGTAGCCATTCTCTGATGGGTAAACAGAGACAATTTACAATCAAACTCACTTGCCTAGTATGAGACCACATGTGCTTTGTTGTGCTTACATGTGCTTTTTTGTGGGGCAGGACCGAACTATCAGGAATCAAGCTGACAGACACGGTCACCCACCCAACTGTCCGCAACTAACGTTTCTTAACGTCCACCGATTTGTGACCTGGGTCACGTTGTACATAGCGATCTTAGGGCTAAGGTGACTCCCATACCCTAACATAGACTTGAAGTAGTCTTAGTGCTAAGGTTGTTTTGTACAACGGGACCCTGGACTCTGAGTACTCGGTATAACCCAGCCGAACATTTAGCCTGGGATCTCAAGATCTCGAATCCCGACCAGACAATCAAGTGATTGAAGTCATGAGCTTTCATATACACAATTGGGATCCGATGCCTTGCACCATCCTGGGACACGATGCTATGCGAACCTGGCTAGCTATTCTCGAAACGTACGTAGCCTTACGAACTTCTCAAGCCCGGTTTAACACATTGGCTACGATCAAAGTCTTAGATCAAATTCTTAGAGCTAAGAACGTTTCGAGAATACGGGCCCTGACCACCTAATCCCGTTAGTCGCCTCTTACGACAAGAATGGGGTGCTGAAGTTTGATACTTACCAATCTCTTCACAAGTATCATTCGTTGATTCTGTATTGATTATGGGAATCACAACTAGAACACTGTGTCTTAACCGATTAATTTAATTGACTCTTACAAGTAGGTGTTACTGTAGTAAGATTCTGTCCCGGTTTGTTTTAAAGGTGATATATATATATATATATATATATATATATATATATATATAAGAAGAAGTTTCTGAAATAATTACACAACACGGATCTTCTCCAACATGTTTCACTTTTATCTTCAGGGAGAAGTGATTACAGTTAAACGGATTATGTTATGACGTCAATTTGTCATGACGTCACAATGCAACTGTATACAAATGTTGTGACGCGGCGTTGCCATGACGTCACATTGGCGGCTTTATATTGACAGTACTAGTAGCACAATGAAAACAAGTATAATTCAGACACATTGCGTTACCTATTTAACGATGGACACAATTCTTTGATGAAAAAGTTTTCTTTAGCTTTACGCTGCATGGCGTCAGCAGTATGACGCCGCGTCACAACATTTGTATACAGTTGCATTGTGACGTCATGACAAATTGACGTCATAACATAATCCGTTTAACTGTAATCACTTCTCCCTGAAGATAAAAGTGAAACATGTTGGAGAAGATCCGTGTTGTGTAATTATTTCAGAAACTTCTTCTTATATATGTACTACTGTACGCTCGGTATTCTCAACACTTTCTTTATATATATATATATATATATATATATATAGAGAGAGAGAGAGAGAGAGAGAGAGAGAGAGAGAGAGAGAGAGAGAGAGAGAGAGAGAGAGAGTGTGTGTGTGTGTGTGTGTTCCTGCTTACCTGATAAACGATACCCGTGAAGAACCCGGTTAGAATTAAGTCTTCAGCAACCCATACCTGTCAGAAAAGGCGACTGACAAGTTCGGGTGGCCACAGTCGCCAACTTGGTTGACACATGTCATCGCACCCCAGTTGCGTAGAACGATGCTCATGCTGTTGATCAGTGGATTGTCTGACCCAGACTTGATTATTTACAGACTGCAGTCATATAGCTGGAATTTTGCTGAGTGCGTCATTAAACAACCAACCAACCAATTGGTGTTTGGCGTTAAACAACTGTCAAACCAAACCAAAGCTAAAAGAACTTTCCTGTTTACTTGCTGCAACTTATCAAACGATTTTCAAAGTTGCAAATGTCTACATTACTTTCAAGATATCTGCACATTAACTGATATAGCAAGACAGAGTGAAAACGAGGCAATGTTTATTTACATGACAGATTATGTTGGACATACGCATATATACACTAAAAGAATATTGCTTGTTCAATACCCATAAGGTATGGGATCTTCAGATGGTAACATCCCTTACTTTAGACATGAATGGAAGCACTTCTCCAAAGGCCCCTTTTCATCTTAACACCATGACTACTGTCGGTTCTAAACTGCAACATGCGATTACATAAATCGTAGTCTTTGTGCTCAGATCTCTTTGTGCACCCGGCCCTGTCTTCATAAAGCATTGAAAAGATTATCATCATTAAACTCCAACCTCCCGATCACACAAAAATACAAAATACAACTCCTCCCAGTGCCTCCAGGTGTCGCTCGTATCTCAAGGTACGAGTGACAATGGCGGCGCTGTGGAGGAGCTTGACACAGCCCCTTGTTCCTGTCCACCGCTGGCATACTAAGCTCCCTGCACTGTACTCTGCTTCTGCGTTCATCCCCTAGTACCATCTGCACATCTGCTATCCACGAAAAGGATATCGGGCTTACACGAACAAAATGGCTTGCTACGCGCCTGGCATCCTCAGGGTCTGTTCGAGATCATTTGAGCTCCTGTTTTACTGAAAATTTAATCAACAAATGTCTAGCAATCTAGGGAGAAAATACTCCACAGCTTTCTTGCAGGTTTGTACAAACTACACTTCGTTGTTTCTATATATAGTAGTTTTATGTCAGCGTTTGAAAGATAAACAGTTAAACAAAACATGCCATAAATTTACCAAAGTCGTAATTTTTGTTCATCAAGGTTGTTTCAATAAGTATACATTCGAACACAGCAGTGTCGAAGCTTAAGGAACCTACGTAAAATACTTAGAGACAATATAATACTTCGACACAACTGCAAGTTCAACACAACACTGTACCAGAATACCACCCAAGGGCTTGATGTATGATTTTACGTGCGTTTCGCGGATCAGCCTGCCCTGAGCACATCTGTACACGTCAACGCGTTCTCATAATCGATAAACATACCAAAGATCACATGAAAACGGGATTGCTGGAAAATAAGACATTATTGTCTTTACAAACGAACCATGAATGCATATGTCCCTTGTCACCTGGGCTCCTTTTCAAGTTAGATAGATTTATTTGTTTGTATCAAAATTATATAAATTCAGAGACTAAACGTTAGTCCAAGGTGAACGTCTAAAACCTTCATCACCTCGGGTTTAAGCTCACAGCGTGAAAAAACTGAATTACGTGTACTTTTCAAACTGTCGTATTGATTCCTTACAAACGAACCATGAATGCATATGTCGAATACTCATCTGTGTCGAACAAGTATTTCTAAAGAAATTTTAAAATACACCATAGAACACCTGATTGTTCGAAAATATGACATTATTGCGATAACAGACCAGGTATGACTGAATATATCGAATTATCACCTGTGTCGAACATGTTGAAGCCCTTCAGTATTTCCTCGTACACATCTCTGTTGTCTCCCTGCTGGTCTATCACAGTCTCCAGGAACTCGTTGAAGTCAATCTTCCTGGAAACAAGCAAACACCATGGTCAATACGTATATGTAACGATCACAGAAATACGTTTATTCATTGGTTGTTTAATGCCGCCGCACTCAGCAATATTCCAGCTATATGGCGGCGGTCTGTAAATAATCGAGTCTGGACCACACAATCCGTTGGGGTGGGGTAGCCTAGTGGTTAAAGCGTTGGCTCGTCACGCCGGAGACCCGGGTTCGAATCCCAACATGGGTACAATGTGTGAAGCCCATTTCTGGTGTCCCCCGCCGTGATGTTGCTGGAATATTGCTAAAAGCGGCGTAAAACCAAAACTTAGTCAGTCAGTCAGTCAGTCACAAGTTGAATGGGGTGGTAGGCTAGCCCATTGGTTAAAGCGTTCGCTCTTCACGCCGAAGACAGGTTTCTGGTGTACCCCGTCATAAATGATAAGTAGTATTCAGGATTCTGTGATATTATTGTGCTTAGTTAGATATCTATCTATTGCTAAATAGACGGGAGAAAACAGAGGTAAAGCCATTCGTGACCAACTCGTGTTATTCCGGGACAAGCCGAATAGCGGTTACGGAAAGGGGCGAGTGGTGACGAATGAGGTAAAGCATCGACAGAGTTACTTCCCTTTGTTGCATATCCTTACCAAAAACATCTGTGTGTTTACATTAGTTGTAGCGTACATGAAGTCTTTTTGACACTTGTTTCTGCTGTATAGAATGAAACATATCTATCTGGGCGATAGGGTGGATACGAAAACATTTGCTATATATAAGCAGGGGCTGTAATTTGTGATCTTCCTGGGATAATAAACATAATAGAATACAGGTGTGAAATTCCAGGTATTCATCTCAATTCTCAAACATTAAAAATAGTTACAGGTTGTGTAAATTTAACCTTAAAGCGAAAGATTCCACAAAGAAACCTGCTCGTGCGCTTCACAGATATAAATACCACTGACTTCCCTATTCTATACATAAGCGTCGACCCACCCACCTTCTCGCCTGGTTTCGGGGGTGGGGCAAGATAGTCCGGCTTGAGGGGGTCAACCGGGCCCACTGGCGTCTCCACCTTTTCCCCCCCTTTCTTTTCCTTTTTCTTTCCTTTCTTCTTCACGGGCATCGTTTGTAGTATTCGTCTCTTTCCACGAGGTTGATCGTCACTCTGAAAAGCCTTTGTTGTCAGCCTTGGGCCGCCATTTTGAAACAACTTGTGTCGCCTAGCAACGGGGCAGTGCGTGTACGGGTCAGCCTGCCCAATGGGATTGTTCACAGATCACTGTGTACTATTTCTGATGTGAAAGCAAGCATCTGTAAGTCCATTTCCTGGAAGAAAAAATGACCTCGACAGGAATCCTCGCCAATAACATTATCTATCTCATGGCTTGACAGATTCAAACTTGATATTATCATGACTTTTGAGATATAGTATTCACACTTTGCTAAGGATCAAATCATGGATTCAACAGAAAACTATGATGTGGGGTCAAATTTGGTTTAAATATCTAAGCCCATTTTAAGCATGGATCCTTGGTTTCAGTTTGTTATTTCATCTTGTGGATCCCATACCTGCTATTGACAGGTGTGTTCTTGTCACTGGCTCGTTCCATGATTTGCAAAATGGTTGATTGGTGCCTTGAAAACCATTTTTATGGTCACTCATGTATCAGGTGCATAAGGTTAGATTAAAGTGACTGTTTGCCTAAATAGGGGTTACCATATTATCATTTATCCAGTTTCAAATGGATACAATTTCAAATTATGAATCTTTGTTGAAGTAACGTTGTGAATTTGTGTGATCCTTAGCAAAATGTGAGTAGTATATGTTCTAGACCACTTTATATGCACGGAACATTTGTGCAATAAAACATACTATTGGATAACTTCATTTTTTCTATGTAATTTGTCTTTTAGCATTATATCAGGAAACTTAATAATGGAGGCATTTAATATTACAATGGCACCAAGGACGGTTACGTCAAGGGGGTTCAATATCAATTTTAAGTATGCCATTAATAAGCCATTTTCCAGTTTCGCGAAATAAGTTCGTTTAGAGTGATGTCCCATTGCAAAACCACGTGACCCCGGGCAAACTGTCAAAACAAACGGCTGTCAAAATTTGTAACCTGTTTGACCGTCCAACGACCTCTATCCGACGTGATACCGAAGGAAGCTGAAGATGCCTTACCACCACTCTTGCTATGGCTTGTGTAAGTCTGACAACAGGTACAAGGATCGCCATGAGATGGAAAACGTGTTTTTTTCCATTTTCCGAAGCTGAAGAGTCAACCGGAAAAATGTTTGAGGTTGACGAGGGCCTGTGGTCGAGAGGGATTTGATGTCAAAAGCATCACGAGGCACACCTTTATTTGTTCCAAACACTTCGTAGGTGAGTTTTGTATGACTATGCTACAATATATGTGTCCATCAGGTGAAATTTGAAATTGTAAATATATCGTCAATGCAAATGATTAAGTTTTCGGACAATGGTAAAAAAAAAAGTGGCTACATGGTGTAAAATAATGTACCTATGTATAGTTTTAAACTGCCTTTTAAGTCCGTGTGAACTATAATTGATTTATAAATATCCTGTCAGGTGGCCATGGACCAACTTTGGATTTCCCAGACCCTGTCTCGGTAACCTCCACGCCCTTAAAGACCAGACCACCGCCTCGACAAAGACAGGCAGATCCAGTGGCCTCTTAGACCCCATGCAAGAAGAGAATGGTAGAAGATGATGTCTTAACTACCAAATGTATGTATGTTCAAAAGATTATAACTTTAGCATGTTGCTTTATAAATAATCCATTCTCACATCCACTTGTTTTTGATTGAATGTCCTCTTTATGAGATAATTTAATCTGAGTGTATATCTTCTGTTATAATATTCTTTTGGTCTAAGTATGTTAATATTATTCAACAGGTGAAGTTCAGATGGGTATGGACATTGTTGGTCCAATGACAGCTCTTGCTGACCACATATACAGCACTGTCAAATCTACTGCTGATGCCTCCACACAAACAAACTTGTGTTTTGATGACATCAGCACATATACAGATGATTTGCTGCAGAACCCCAAGAAGCTGACCAAAAAATTAACGATGGATAACATCACAAGAAACAACAAAAGCAGCAAGTTTTACACTGGTACATATATTACATGTTATTGTGTTTAAATGTATATACAAACAAATTATCAGCATCAATTAAATAACTAAAGTATTACATTGATGAATCATGTTGCACTGTAACCAAAAATATCAGATTGAAAACACCTTTTCCAAAAAACGTTTATATGAATACTTAACATTTTCATGCTTTAACTACCGGTACATAATGACTGTTGTATGTTGTGAACTGAAATAGGGAATATTCAACTCAATTATCAGCATCAATTAAATAACTAAAGTATTACATTGATGAATCCTGTTGCACTGTAACCAAAAATCAACTTCTCATTGACTGACTTCGGCTTATGTATACAAAATTCCTTCTCGAGTCATCGTGTGTATTTTGTATGCCATGACCGGATTGTCAGGTATTTCCAAACTTTGAATTGCAAAACAGATACCCCAGTAAATACATGATCACACAGTATTTCCAATGAATTCCTTTGAATTTCAATGGGAGCTGAAATTTCCGATTTCTTTCTAAGTTTACTTAGGTTGGAAACATGTACATTTACGTAGGTGGGGAAACACATGTAAATTTCAAATTTGCAAATGTTTACACACCTTAGATATTAATGTATCATACCAGATTTCAGGGGTATGTATATGAACGGTTCATACACTTTCATGTTACCTGTGCTCAAGCAGGATGATGATATGTTTTCATCATCTGAATTACTTGGTTTATGGAACTTTATTTTCACACATTTTAGTACGTTTGAAATCAACGTCCACGTGACCTCATAATTCTTATCACCAAAAGAGCCTGACAAAGAAAGCAGTATTACGCAAGCCAACACGCCTTATTAAGCTGCACTCGCTCTTGCTACCAGTATCAGTTACGTCTTGTCTGTCGTGTTGGCGAATCTTGTGAGGTGCTTGTTTCGAGGGCGTAAAAGGTTCAGTGGTGAACAAAGGGCGATGAGGTGCCTCTTTGTCCGCTCAAGTGTCCCTAGCTGTCCCAATAGAATAGCACGTTATCTCTCTTAGAGCACAGCCAAATATGTAAAACGTACAAACTCGTAATTTCTTAAGTCTATTCAGCTCACTACTGTAAAATATTGTTTGGCAGTACATTAATGGAATATTATTGCACTGCATGTGACCTTTCTTAATAGTCTCACAGTGCCGGAACCACATTTGTTTCACTAACGCAAAAGTATGCGAGAACAAACAATGCCATATCAAATTATATATTCTGTGAGACGATAAACTCAGATTGTGAAAGCAAATGTCACACAAGTAAATGTGATGTTGCATTGCTGTACCTTTACCCGTTGGAGAAATCCTTCTCAAAAGATATATCTTCCGTTGTTTGGAGCAGACCTATATGACTATTACGCCCCAGTGCTGCTAAACAACTCATAGACTATCAGTCTGACATAGACACAGACCTCACATGTTCAAGTTCACATCTGATAGGGGCCGAAAATATTGATTCCGACATGAATGCTATATCATATTGGGTTATTGTTTTTCTAAGTAAGTGGAGGGGCGGTGGGGTAGCCTAATGGTTAAAGCGTTGGCTCGTCACGCCGAAGACCCGGGTTCGAATCCCCACATGGGTACAATGTGTGAAGCCCATTTCTGGTGTCCCCCGCCGTGATGTTGCTGGAATATTGCTAAAAGCGGCGTAAAACCAAACTCAGTCAGTCAGTCAGTCCTAAGTATGTGGAGTGCCTTCTACAATATTGGAAATAAGTGTATCGCTGTCCTTCTGATATTCCACGAACGAAAGCTCTGCCCATTTCAGGTACAATGTGTATGTTACAGAATAGTAGGGAATAGTCTTAAGACTTTTCAACTTTGACCAGAATTCTTCGAACTTGTAACAGTCGTTTGAGAAGATCAAAAGAGAAAGGGGTAGTACTCGATGTATCTGACGGACGTATATAGAGATATAGAGAACGTTCGAAGAATGTTACTGTATGCATACAATAATTGAAATACCGATTATGATTAAAAAGTACTCTCAGTCTGATAGCCAGAGAGATTATTGTGAAAGATCGCAGTATGTATCATCATAAACAGCCCAAGATAAAAGTAATGTCATTCATCCCCATATTATATCCCTTCTATAGACACGGGACATACAGGTAGGGCAAACACTTTCTTCCATAGGTATCTGCCGGTTTCACGCTACATACATGTATTCAGATTATTGAGAAAACCAGCGACGCAAGTTCTCCTCCATCACACGTATAATTATATAGATACCCAGTGATTAGTGATAGCGTTGAAGCAACTTATTAAAAGTTACGACAGACACTATCAACTGCAGTAGTACTGCCACACCCAGCATCGTATTTATTACTCTCTTACATAAGGTGAAATATCACAGGGTTGTCATGGTAACGATAATTTGGCATACTATTTATTGTCTTACTCTTTAATCAGCGATTAGAATTTAAATCAGTTTTGAGGTCAGCATGTTAGGAGAAAAGAAGCTGTAAAACGAAAAGTATTGTGATCGTATCTATTGGCCTTTGTAAAAGCAAGTTTCAAGCCACCTACATAAAAACCTGTTTTCATGATAAATATCTGCTAATCCGTGGCATGATTCCGACCATATCATGAGCATGTGTTTGTGAATCATAATCAAATAGTGATGTTACAAGGCGTCCATGCCGCGTCAACAACACATGCAAACGCACGAGAATTGCAATACGGGCCCCTACACCAATAATACTCCGTGACCTGGAGACACATGTGTTTGAGCGCATGTAGGGACGTAGTCTGTCATACAGACCCTGAAGCAAATATATCCAAGCACACGCAAGTCTAGAAAATGTGGCAAGTCTAGATTTCCACAGCTTCAGGAGAATGTCTCAGGGCTCCTTTTTATAATATTTTTCATTTTTACTATGAACTGTTTTTCTGTAAAATATGTTCATTTCAGAGACTAGTTGTTCGTCTAGTAGAGACGGGTAGAAGACAAAAGACAAAACGGATACTCGTGCTGTTATACTTTTGAATTATATGTAAACATTCGTTCTTGCCTGTATATGTATATTTTCCAGTTTCAACCAAATGTACATTCGAAGGATATCGAAATCTAGGTTAAGCTATTTGAATCAAATTTACAATTAAAAGACCCAAACAATGATTTGTTGTCCAAATTTTTGGTTTTCCACATCTTGTCCCAGTCTGTATCACAGTCACAGAACGATATTATTTCCCCTTCCGCCCAGCCCTTACTGTAATATGTATACTGCAATACTGAATATGTTGCACGTATACTACACAATGTATTATGCATGTATTCAATGCTATGCTAAGCAATGCCCACTCGTATTCAAGATTACGTGTAGGAGAATGTCCTCAAACTCGCGATTAGTTTCGCACGTGAAGCAGGTTCGAGGCCTACGCGAGTTTGAGAACTTTCTCCTACTTAAAACAAAGTTCGACTACTTGTTCGTGCGCATCTAATTTCTATGTTACTCTCAAATGCTTGCCATGGTCTGGAAACGTGTGTACACCTCGCCTGAACGCAGCTTAACACGAACAAAACTATGGGAGTGTTAATCGCTTGTAAATTGAAAACGGCACGTGCATCTTGCGATGATCTGGAATCGTGTGTACACCTCGCCTAAACGCAGCTTAACACGAACAAAACTACGGGAGTGTTAATCGCATGAAAATTGATAACGGCACGTGCATCATTCATTTTTGCTTGAACTGCTGGTTTGTTGGGTTCATAATGGAAACCTCTGATTCAGATATGGACATTTTTATTACGCAAAACATTTTTTCTCAAAATTCAGAAGTTGTAATCAATTCTGACTTTGAAGATTTACTTAATACCACTATTTCAGAACCAAAAGACACCCCACGATTTAATTTAAATGTTGACGACATTTCCTCTGGTTCAGATGATTATTTGTTTGAAGCAAGTCAGGCTATTGAAGAAAGCTTATATAATTGTGGGCGTCTCGGGGGTTAAATAATAAATTAATATAACAGCTTCATAGCGGGTGGGGTAGGTTAGGTAGTTGGGTGGGCGACTGACGTAGTACCTACCTTTGTAGTCCTATGTGTAGAAGCTTAGGCCCATGCGGACCTCGTGGCCGGGGAGACAGGACGATGTCACGCTTCTTGCATGCTCCACCATCTTGAGGGGCAGAGATGCAAGGAGCGTGCGCATTGCCCGAATTCCGGATTTCCCCAGTCACGTGGTCCGACGTCGGCTATATAAGCCTACCCTAGGTAGGGAATCGTCAGTCGTCCGATACCCGCATCGGGTAAGTTTTCTGCGACCGCGAGTCTTGTATCAAGACCAGATTAAGTTTCCACTTATTGTTTATTGTTTTTAGGGAATGTCGTGTTGATTTAGTGATAAGTTGGGGAGGGAGAGAAATAGCATAAGAATAAGTAGGTTTTATCTTGTTATTTTCGGGAGAAGGCATAAGGGGTGGACATAATCAAAAGTTTATTGTATTTTGAGTAGGATTTAGGTAGGTTGGGAGGGGGAGAAATACGTAGGATTGTTTGTTCTGAATATTGGCCTAGATCTAACTTTCTCAGTCATTTACTTTTCCAATAAACAAGAATTGAAACATAATACTCTTTTGTTGTGACTTTCATTGAGTTTAAGTTGGAAAAACCTGTCAGGAATCACTCACACAGAACCCGCAGACAAGATGTACTGACCACGCCAAGAGACCAATTCTAAAAACACAAGGCAAAGCATAACATCTCAGTAGCCAACTGACACTTGTCATACATCTGCAACGTTCTGCTGTCACTGGGCGCCTATTTTACACCACTCACGTGCTAGGCGCCTATTACAGATTTGGTGCCGTGACCAGGATAAGGTTATATTTCGAATTTTTGTCAGTATAGTCTACTTAAAACATGTCTGAAGATTTAAGTCTGAATTGTTCTTTGTTACCCGAGACTGATGGTCAAGTTCGTGTTAGTGCCGTCGGTAATCTGGAGGAACCACTTATCAATTTGACAAGTGAGTTGCCCCCATTTCGGCAAACTATGCATGCAACTTCTACGCCGTATTCACCTCTTCCTCAAATAGGAAATGGTGTCCGTTTAAGACAGATGAGTAGGGATACACATTTAGCGTCAGCTTATGGTGCACGTCAGTACGCTGATCATCGGTTGTTTGGTCATATATCAGATGGAATTATGAGTGGTAGCCGTTCTGTGCATTTCAGTACACCAGAAATACAGGACAGGTTGCATACTGATTTTTCGGATTCTAGAGGTTTGAATTATTTGAGACAACCAAATCCAGTCGGAACTGTTTTGACTGGGTTTGAAAGGTCTAGGTTATCTCATCGGGAAGTTGTGCCTGACAGATTTGATGGAATGTCATGTGATTGGCAGGATTTTATTGTTCATTTTGAACAAGTAGCTTCATGCAATGGGTGGACAGAATATGAAAAGGCTCAACAACTTAGTATGTGTTTGAGAGGTGCAGCACAAAAACTTTTGAGTAGTCTTACGTTAGGGCAACTCAGCAGTTATCACGCAGTGAAAAATGCTTTGAGTCAACGTTTCAATCCGTTGAGCAGAATGTAGCCTATAAAGTGAATTTCGAAATCGTCGTCAAGGTTGCGACGAGGCCGTACTGGATTATGGGTTTGAACTCCGTAGACTAGCAAATTTAGCTTACCTTACCAGCACCCCTTCATCACTAGAGGTACATTTGATTGATCACTTCCTAACGGGCCTGCATAGCTTTGACATGAGAAAACATGTTACATTTGCACATTCACAAACACTGGAAAACGCTATTTCATGTGCCATGGATGGTAGCTGTTGGTGGTAGCAGGAAAAAGAAACCCGAAAGTTTAGATAGGGTGGCAGGAGTGAACCAAACTAGGCTTGGAAAAGTTTAAACGCAGCTTAAGATCTGCCAGGCCTAATACCTGCTATGTCTGCAACCAGTCAGGTCACTTTCGCGATAGGTGTCCATATTTATCAAAACTGGGTTTGCTTGATCAGTCAGATATCAAGAAAACAGATATGGGAAACTAGTAAAGGCTGGGGTCGAGGCCGAGGTCTCAGCCGTTGTTGGGAAAATTTGTAGGCCAGTTGAAGATGTAGTTTCGGTGGAAAAAAATGTTTTTACTGTTGATATTGGAGTGCAGGTAGATTTACCGTCATTGATAGGGGATAGTGTTGATCCCTTGGTGAAGCAATCTGTACTCAATAGAGGAAAACTTATTTTTATCTGGTGAAGGGAAACCGATATAAATGTGTATCAGATATAATGTGTATGATCTAAATAATTCATGTATTCATTGTATTGTATATATCATTTTGTATATATCTTTCTATCCCTGTACGTATAGTTTGTTTCACTTTTGCATGTAAGCACTGTAAATAGGAGAGGGTTTCACTAAGTTGGCATAACTTGTACCCAATCCATTCTCTTGAATAAATATGTTTAAATCAAAATCAAATCAAAGGGAAACCGATGAAGTCATCTTCGTCAACTCGCTCCAGTGAATCAGTTTCACGGGAACAAATTGTTTTACGTTCTTTGAAACCTCAGAAATGTTTGTATATAGATGTTGTGGTGAACGGGCTTACCTCAAGAATGTTGTTGGATACAGGGTCCCGGTCTCATTCATTTCACAAGATGATGTACTTAAATTGGGTTTTCAGAACATCAGTTTGAAGGAAGTTCACAAAGATTTCTTTACGGCCAATGGTATGCCTATAGTTGTCCATGGTTCTGCTTGTTTTGAGTTTTGTGTTGGAAGTGTGACGTTTCAACAAGAGTTTGTCGTTGCAGACTTGGGTACAATGGGTAGTATACTTTGCATTGATTTCCTGGAGGACAATGATGGTGAAGTACATGTGAGACGACAGACACTGTCTACATCTAGAGGTCAACTCAAATTGTACAAACTGAACACAAGTAGTTGTGCGCGGGTCAGAATTGTTGACAAGGTTGTTGTTCCCCAGAATTCTGAGAAATTAATCAAATGTTCTGTTGATGGTTCATTCGGTACTGAGTCGGGGTTGGTTGAGCCAAATAAATATTGGAGAAGTAAAGGAATTTTTGTGGCTAGAAGTCTTGTCCAGCCTGATAAGGATGTTGTAGTTATTTCAGTGTTGAACCTTAACAGCAAGAAAGTATCCATAAACAGTCCATCCGTACTGGGTACAGTTAGCAGAGTAGATCAGGTAGTAGCTTGTGATGATGTTACCACAGATGCACAAAGTTTGGACTTACAGAGTCATTTGCAGTCACTAGTTGATCGATGTTCTTCTGGTCTTACAGAAACTCAAAAGCAGTCCGTTTCTGATTTGGTGGGAGAATTTCAGGATGTTTTTGTGGGTGAAGATGGTTTGTTAGGACAGACAGATCAGATTACTCACAGTATCAATACTGGTGATGCAACTCCTATCAAACTACCTGCTAGGAGGATTCCTTTGGCTAAGAAACAGTTAGTGGAGGATGAAATTGACAAGATGTTACAACAAAACCTTATTGAACCTAGTAGTAGCCCTTGGTCTGCTCCTGTTTGCTTAGTAACTAAGCGTGACGGATCCTGCAGATTTTGCATTGATTTTAAAAAAATTGAATGTGTGACCGTGAGAGACGCCTTTCCTATTCTCCGGACTTAGAACTGTTTTGGACGCCAAAATGAAATCTCTAGCGCGACAGGGAATTGGGATTGATAAGAGACAGGCTGCTGTGATAAGTGTTGAACAGGAGGATGTGTTATGGAAAAAGGGTATTTTAGGTGAGGACACCCCTCAAAAACTCCTAGACACTCTAGTGTATCTGATTGGTTTGAACTGTGCATTAAGAGCTGGGGATGAACACAGAAATCTAAGGGTGGGACCGAATTCACAGTTCTACCTGACCGATACCGAAGATGGGTTTAAAACTCTTAGGTACACAGAGGCGTTTCCAAAACAAACAGAGGAGGAATAAAACACAGGCGCATGGAAAAGAAATCAATAAGCATATCCGTCAGCAGAGAGCTACCTGAGAGATGCCTAATTCCTCTCTACCAAAAGTACATGTCACTTCGGTGAGTAATAAATAGTATTACTATCATAATATTACATGTGAATATTTTGGTTTGATTTGATAATGTTGTTTAAAAATACTTGATTTTGGTCTCGCTCGCTGCTTAGACCTGACTGGTTATCAACGTACGTTAAACCCAATCTCACTCTCACTGATATTTGGTATACACAAGAAGGCATGACATGTGCGACTGTCAGAAATAATTAATTCTATTTTTGTCTTGGTTTATAATATTGGAATTACTGTTACAATGTAGTGGCATTATTGTAAATTGTCATTGAATGGGCAAGATGATATCTATATTACAAATTATTATTTCTCTTATAGGCCTAGAGATGGCAAGTGTTCTGCTGTCTATCTCCAACCACTCAGGTTTGTGAAAGATAACACGTGGTTTGCTGACTGTCCTATTGGTAAACATCCATTGAGAGGAACAGTCGGGCGAATATGCAAACTTGCTGGGTTTGCAGGATTCTACTCCAACCACTCTCTGAGAGCAACAACAGCTACACGTCTCTACGAACCTTTCCCTTAGTTTGTTTAACTAATAGCTTTTGCAGTTAACATGAAAATTTACCCTTTTGCGACTAACATCCACATAACTTAGTTTTAAGCATAAAAATCAAGTTGGTACACTGGGACTCGTTATCATCGGAAGAAGCTCCCAGTTTACCTGTATGGGCGATTTATTATAAGTACGTGTTGTCTGTCTGTAGTAGACAGAACCGTTACATAGCATGTAGAGCACGGACACACTGCTCGTGCATCCCCCACACTCACGTGCACGTGCTTCACAACATTCGCAGCGCGTTCACCGTTAACATCTAGTGGTGATTGTCACTGACTGAAGACGTGACGGGAGGCGTTGACAACTTCATGAGCGCATATTATCATATTTATCTAAATCATATAAATTGTTCATTTATATCACATGTGAAGCTCGGCAAAAGCGCAAAATTACTGTAAACAACAGTTTTATGCACAGTTATACTGATGTTAACATATGTAAAGCATGGATTCATGATGACTATCGACAGTAACTGTTCATGAGATCGTGCAAGGGCATTATACGTAACTCAAACAAGTTATCTCATGACTGTAATAGTGTTCATTTGTCTTGACTCAGACTAATCACCACCTTGAGTTTATTAGACTCG